CAGGGCAACAGAGTGAGACTCTGTCTAAAATAAAATAAAAGTAAAGTAAAATATTACAACTAGAGATCACTGTGATTAGAATGGAAAAAGTTACGATTGGGTACAGTCTGTGTAAACCACAGGTTGTAATCAGGAGGCCCACAGGCGACTTTAAATCAGCTCTTTGATGACAGATTTCTAGTTTCTCTTGAAAAATCAGAGGTCTTAAGAGCACCGGGCTAGGAAGACCAGCTTGCCCAAGACAGCTGCTGCCTACTTCAGATGAAGCCTTCATTCTCTCATTTGCCAAAAGATAATCATTCAAGTTTTCCACCTGTACTATAAACAGTACAGCATGATAAGCCAAAAACATTCTGCAGGGGCTGGACATGTAGCAGTGGAAAATTAGGTGATCCCGATTTTATTTAAATTTTAAAAAGTTTACACTCTTACTGCTAGACTGAAATGACATTACTTGAAATGTATTGGCTATCTGTGGCTAGTAGAATTATAATTCACTTTTTTTTTCTTTTGCATGCTTTTTATGTGTATTTTTCAGGTTTTCTAGAAAAAAATTAGATTATTTATAATTAGAAAAGAAGTTTAACAAAACCATTTTTTTGGCTAGTATCTCCTCCCCTATTCCTTAGTGTCTCTGTAGCTGCAATTGATTAACCAATGAGAACCTGTGACAGAAAGGAAATAATAGCTACACACACACACATTTACAGACAAGCGCAACACATACATACACAAAAACAGAATTTATGTTGAAGTACACTGATTCCCATGGGCTTTCTTACTTAACTTAAATCCAAAGAGATCGCCTCATGCATTTTAGTCTATAAACATGTCCATTTAGAAAAATTCAGACTTAAAAAAGTAGAGAAGGCTGGGCACGGTGGCTCACATCCATAATCCTAACGCTCTGGGAGGCCAAGGTGAGAGGATCGCTTGAGATCAGGAGTTCAAGACCAGCCTTAGTGAGCAAGACCCAGTGTCTACAAGAAATAGAAAAATTAGCCGGGCATGGTGGCGCATGCCTGTAGTCCCAGCTACTGGGGAGGCTGAGGCAGAAGGATTACTTGAGCCCAGGAGTTTGAGGTTGCAGTGAGCTACGATGATACCACTGTACTCTAGCTGGGGCGACAGAGCAAGACTCTGTCTCAAAAAAAAAAAAAAAAATTGAAGAGAAGACATGATTAACTTTTTTGATTAAAAAACAAAACAAAACAAGCCACAACATAAAAGAATTAATTTCAGATTATTTGCTACAGATCTAAAACAACAGACTCGATGTTTGTGAATTGTTAAAAAGATTGGTGTTTTCCCCTTATTTGTATGCTCTGTACCTGTTAAAAAAAATTCCAAGTTATTCCCTTGTGGTCTAGTGGCTAGAAAAAAAAAGAAAAAAAATCCAAGTTATGAGAAAAAAAACAAACAAACCTGTCAGGCTCTCACACAAACACACAATAAGCCATAATAGAGAAATCATTGAAATGTTCACACTGATGACCTGCCAGGACTTTGGAAAGATGGCAGAAAATTCCTTTACACACATTTGTGGTTTGGCAAAAGTGTTGTCTTGATTTCACACAGAAGAAATCAATAAGAACAACTTGAAACAGTTTTCTTTCTTCTTGGGGGAGAAAAACCTGCCATAAATTGCAAGTGTTTTCCCATCCTTTTAGGCAGCAAAGAAAACTACAAAGACCTTTAGGCCTTCTCAGGTATACTGAATTTTCAGGAATCAATGAAATTTTAAAACTTATTTTTAAGGAACCTCTGAAATAAAAAGCAAGCTTATTGTCAATTTTGGATAGGAAGATGCCATTGCTTTCACCTTTGAAACAATCTAGTGATATATTTATACAACAAATGACTTGCACACCACAAACTACTGTATCCTAAAAGGCATCTGTCGTCTAACTTGGAGGAAACATGGTCATGTCCTTACCTAAAGACTGGTAGAGCTCTGTCATTTTGGGATGGTCCCAGCAAGTTGTTTGGGTCTCGTGGCTAAAACACAAAATATAAAGAGAGACTTTAGAATTTTAAATGGGTAGTAAAGGAAAGGGAAAAACATGATTTGCTTTTGAATCATTTGGCATCTTTACTTCAAAAGACTTCCGTAGTGTAGTAAAGAATGTTTATCTTACAAGCAGAAAGGCCTCTGTTTTTGCTTTCAAAAAATAAAAAAGCAATCTGAACATTATTTCATTCCAGAATTTGTTTCTTTTTTGCACCCACAAATAGACTGCATTTCTGTTATAATAAATTGACCTTGTTATGTAATCAATAATCGAATCTCAGGATTTCTTCACCCCTCCAATGTGGAACATGCAGAAAGGACACTGATAATTGATTGTTATTCAACTCTGTCAAAGAGATACCGAACATTAGTTCAATAAATATAAATCACCTCACTTCTCATTTGCTTTCACTGCCCTGACACTTTTCCATTACTCTTTCCTCTACACATCCAGATCTCATATCCGTGATACCTGTATTTCATTTCAGCTTAACGTATATCCAGCACCTGACTAATATATCACACCTTCCTTATTCCCATTACTTCTAGAATTTTTTTTTAAACTCAGTACTCTATAGACCACTACACCTCTTCCTATATTTACTAGGGCCTGAATGAAGCACTTACAGTTCTCTTCCATTTCTTAAAGTGTGGTTGCCCAGCGGCTATCAGCTCCAACCACAAAAAGAACAAAACACCTTTGTTCCTCATTCAATTACATGCATAAACCCTGGAGAGATAACTACATATACTTTTCCTTACTTTGGCCCATCTACATAAATCACCATAGCATCGTATTTCCAGTTTTCGGGGATTACATGACAAGCTTTCATACAGTAAAATGCAGACCTGAAAGATATTTTGGGATTCATATGTACGGCCTATTCATAATCTCTTTGGGGGAAGGGTGGGGATGGAAAGAAAAGAAATAGCTTAAATTTGGGTACTTCAAGGGGACCAGAAAGTACACAGGCCTCACACAGAAAGAGGAGTTTGGAGAAGCAACAATGTCAAATGGGCTCAGTATATGTTTTGAATTTTAGGGCTCTGCGCCCTACTGGCTGTGAAATTTAGGGCAAGCCTGCTTGCCTTGGAGAGTTAAATGATCAGTTGATATAGAGAAGTGACCTGCACCTTTTGGTGCTCAATATGTGGTCACTTTTGTTATGTGGGCCCCAAATTATCATCCATTAAAAGCAAACCTTTTGTTAGTTGATTATAATATAGATGTGGATCCAAATGCAGTTAAGCCAGTCAAGCCTAAGAAAGCCTTTTCCTCATGGGCAAAACCAACACTCAACAAATTATCACCTGTGTTTTAAAAAATAAGTAAAAAGGAGAAACATTTAAGGTGGTTTGATAAATTATAATCATAACTCTCACAAAGACATATGGAAATTACCCAAAGTGTGCAACTTCAAAGACTGTCCCCATGATATTTACCGTTCAATGACGGAACAGTGAAGGCTACTGAAATCAATTTGCAAGAAAATGTTCACTTGTGAAGTGCTGTTTCACTCTCTTCCAAATATGTTCACTTCTGTTTTACTTTTCCACAGAGACGATTCACATTTCAGAAGGGCAAGAAGGCCTTACCAGTTGAGGGAATGTATCAAAGTGCCATTCAAGTCTTAAAGAGCAAGAAGAGCAGAAGATGTGGTCTCTCCTTTAGAGGGTTTTAGGAAACCCCATGACCAAATGGATTATGATAAGGAGAAGGGATGGGCGGGGCTGGTACTTTATATGCACGGCACAAGGAGGCTGCAGCTTGCAGCTTCATGGAAAAAGTGGTGCTTGTTCTCAGGCATTTTTTAGCTCAAAAAGTAATTGTGTACCAATTCTTTACACAAGTGCAGAGCAAGGAAAGATTACCCTCTATTGAGATCACTCTGCATTCAAGCCTCCCCCATTTCCAAAGGCCATCCAGATGTGAGCACCAGGAAGAGAGAAAGGGAGAAGAGGGGAAACATACATGTGCTTACATGTATAGGCCCTCACTAGGCACCCTGCATTATAGCAATGTCCCATCTCCAGGACATTCGTTAGGACTGTAGCATCTTCAATAGATCTGCAGAAAAACATTTGGCTGAGCCGATAAACCTGATCAGACACAGACAGAACTACCCTGAAAAGCCACCATCTGGAATGGACTTCGAATTGGAGGAACATGGGCAAGAAATAAATTTGTGCCAAATGCAATTCTAAAAGGAAAGAGAAACGGTGCATACAATTTACAGACTCCCACATAGAATGAATGAGAGCCGCAGGTAGCTCCCCACCTCCAAAAGAAATCTCATGACTGTTGACATATCAACATTTCTACCTTTTTAAGGAATTTATTTGGAAAATTAAAAATTATGGAAAAGGTTTTAAAAATTATTTTTTAATCCATCGGTCCTTAGCAAAACTGAAATTTCCTTTACTAGAAGACAGAAGAAATTCTAAGCCCTCAATTCCATTCCCCATTTGTGAGTTAAGATACCAGTTCTTGATAGGTACTATTCTCTCAATCCCCTGTGGTTCTGGGAGACTTGAATAACATAGATAAATGAGCTCCTCAAACAATTCCAGAAGTCAACCTTTTTCCCCTCCAACACACAAACCTTTTATTTTTAAGCAATGCAAAGTAACTAGAAAACAGATTTAGATTTCACCTTTGCAGTCTTAGTTTCACTTCAATTGCAAACCAGAACTAAGCAAAAGAAGTGAGTGGAAAGAAGAAAAGAATAAAGGCTGTGACTAATCCTCAAAACTAGAAAAATAATCTTGTAATCATTTAATGCTAAAAATGCTTGGCAACATAGCTGAAAGGGCTTCAAATTTTTTGGTAACTATATGATGCACCAAATAGTCACTTCACTGTATGTGGGTATTTTCTACCTGTGATGAATCCAAAGCCCTACTGGGATGCATTTAACACCCCCCACCACCACCACTAGATAGGAAAGATAAATATGGACTGAATGAAATAGTAAGCACGAATTTGCATAATTCATATTTATATTCTATTTTGCAGGACAAACCAATTTTTTGTCTGTGATCAACTTAGATTTTATAGCTGTGTCTCTTACTCTGTACCCGTCTTCAAAAACAGTAGAGAATTCTCAGTAACTCCATGAGAAGCAGCTCACACTTACCTGGAATATACACACAATATAGCAAAATGTGCTGTGCTAGGGAGGTGAGATTGGAAGGGTGAGTGGTAACTGGTTGTTTTTCGGTAATTGTCTCTTTTCTGCACTTCCCTCTCCACATCGGAAACACACTCCCCATATACCATGTCCAACCCGTAAAGGAAATTCTGAAACCTGTTCACACGTTAATGGGTACATCTTTGTTCTACCTTCCTGAGAACAATGATGTTCCACATAGATCACAAGTCTGTATGTACATTATTAACACAGAGATCGGCTTCATAAATAATCCTTAAAAAGCTCTCTGAATCTTTAAAAAATGTTATTGATTTTGGCCCTGCTGGTTCCAAAGCCTGGCATCAGATAAGCCTCTCTGAGCAGTCTTCAAACTAAGATTTCCCTTCTTTTTTTATTTGTACAAACCACAATAATCTCTTTTTTCCCCCTTTTATTCAAGGCTGTGATAGGAACCTGATGCAAATTAAAATATAAAATCATTGACTATGACAAAAGACCCCAGCAACACCTACTTGTCAATAAGAAGAAATTAAAGCATTACTCTACTGAGCAGAGGACTGACCTAATTTCCTACCATACAATTTAAATTTTCTCTCACCTTCTTTAGTTTCAAGTAGTGTGCAAGGTTATTACAACTGCCTCAGAGCTGTTCCTGCTGTCAGTGCTGGAATAATCAGACTTATCGGAATTGCTTTTTTAGTTTCTTAAAAACAAATATTAAACACTTATAAAAAGTAACAAATATCTACTGTTCTCACTGGGGAAATGGCAGTTCCCTAATTAAAATAAGATTTCTTTTGCCACCACTGTTTTTGGTACTGAAAATATTCCGAACAGTTGCCCTTTTTGAAAAAAAAAAAAATGTCTTTCTGCTACTTCCCAGGGAGGAAACTAATCGCTATGCAGTGATATAAAAAGGTAGCGTTCTTTCTCTTGCGATTTGCAGAGGATTAGAGTTTGGCTTCATATATAATCTAGAGCCCATTGATCCACATACACAAATGATTTCCCTTTAATCTGGGGATCAGACTCTTTTTCTAGAGGAACCTTGGCATTTGCATGCTGAATTGTTGAACTTGGCTTGCATTGCTGGAATATTGGCAGGGTGGGGATGGGAAAATATATTTAAAAGTTTCAGCTACTGTGGGGCAGGGGTTGAAGGGGGTGGGTGTCAATCTAAGCATCAGAAATCCTATTCTAGTTCCCATTTTTTGTTCCCTGGGATATTTAACATTTTATTCTGTTTGGCTCAAGCCAGGGCAAAGATGATTGCCTTGGTGGTTGTTCCAGCTGTTACTTGTCCCCCGTTCTATTTGCTTTTCAAGGTTTAACTCCCACCCATCCTCAACTTTGGCCAAAGCAATTTCACTTCAGGGTCGTGTCCAATCCAACATCAAACAATGATGAGTGAAACCAATTCCACGGTGTTCAAGGGTCAGAGACCTTTCATATAGCCATGTTGTTTCATGTGCTTCTCCAAGAGCAACTGTGTCCTCCAAAGAGGGGTTTGGAAAAAGGAAATTAAAAAATCCAGGGAAAAAAAAAAAGAAAGAAAGTGTAGTGGGGGATGACAAGGAAAGGTGACAGGGATAAAGAAACAGAAGGACCAAATAGAGTTTATTGGCAGAGGAAGAATGAAGATTTAACTTAAAAGACACCACTTAAAGTTTACCAATTAAATCGGATAGATTTTTTTTCATGTTAAAGCAGTTTACAACTAAAACTATGTCTGCCTCGAGCAACTAAACCCCTTCAATTTAAGCTTCAAAGTTACTTCAAATTTAACTGAGATAAGCAAAGTGTCCTGCCCTATTCAGTGCTCTGCTCGGATTGGG